AGACTAATAACATGCAAAAAGACAATTTCCCCTAACTCTCAAAATTATTCTGGCTTTCTAACCATGCGACAAGAGCCGTTACAAATTCATCCAAGCTAATCATTAGCTTTCCTACAGGAACAGAGCTTGTACTCTGAGTGAAATTGACAATTATCTATTCGGAACACAATATTATACAATATATCACTTGACAGATGAAAACCTTGGCTTTTTATTGGTTATAGGTAATATATAATTAAATGTAAGAGAGAGAACTATTAACAAATTCTGAAAGAGAGGATGCGACAGGTGGGTGTGGCAGAAGGGGGCTGATTTTCTATATGATAGCTCTGTAACCAAACAAAATTGAAGACTATAAAAATTATGGTTTGTATGAACAATGGCAATTTCATAATAAGTAATTTACATTTAATTTCATACTTTTTGGAGGGGTGGTGGATAAAAAAGAGAAAAGAAGATGCTTAGAGAAAATGTATCATGTGTGTCACACTAGGGAAAATTCAGGTTTTTTGTTACTGTTTTATGGAAATAAGAAGCACAGGAATTCATATAACAAAACACCATGAAAAATTATTGGATCTTATTCATTCTGAGTTGCATTAGTATCTAACCATCAAGAAAGGAATAAATACTTTAACAATTCTACCAAACAATTGAAAACATTTCCAGAGCAGTCAAAATAAAACAGACTTGTATCTAGTAGCTGACTTTTTTACATATTCCATCTACAACCTTTTAGACTTTAAAATCTGGTCATCATAATATACAATCCCAGTTATCTAAAATAATAGTTTCAAATTTTAAAAAAATACAATAAATAAGAAGAATGTCAGTAGGTTTGAACACTGCTAAAACATTTTTTATGCTAATTTACTTAGTCTAATCTGAAGTGTTGAAAGAAATAAACATAGCACAAACTACACAAAACTCATAATTATTATCTGGACTTTCAGTTATCTGAACATGTAAACATACAATTTTAATGAACTGGAAATAACTATCAACACAAACAAGAGTCTATATACCTGTCCTTATGATATTGGTTACTGTTTATGTTGTTAGAAAATTGGGTTTTAACAAATGTATTTTGTGTATATACAAATATGTTAATTACAAAATGCACAAGTGCACATAAGATTATTTTCAAAACATGAAGTTCAAAATTGTTAAAAAGTCACAGTTTGTTACCTTTTTTTGTTTCTCTTTAACTTCAAATTCACCATTTTGTTTTCCTATAAATAAAAAAGTAATAACAAACTAAATCTCAAACTCATAGTAATATTATATATATATATATATATATATATTTATTCTTTCAGAAATTCTAATAATATTTTTTGTACCAACTCAATGTATTGATATTAATGTACTCATGTGATCTTGAAATAAGGGGACATTTAAATTTAATCAAGAAAATGTAGAAACACCATCTAAGACTACCAAACAGTTCATCTTCTCTTGTAAGAGATCATTCTATTCAAAGAAGCACCCTCTCCCCAAAGTAGTAGAAAAATATATAAATAAGGACCTCCGATTAAGCAAAATCCACAAATTTACATACAATATAAACCAGAATACCCAGAATAAACATAGGAGTTCAACACAGCTATTTCTTACAGATATTATTCAAAAACAGTAATATATATATATATACTATAAAAATCAAAAGTGAAATTAAGAAAAAATTTTGTTATGCAACCTTATACAAACCACACATTTATGTTCATATAAAAAGTAACATATCATGCCAAAATTTTAAAGAAAAAGTAATCAATTTAAGACAATGATTTAGATGTGCTTAGAATATTATATGTTAGTCAACATGTCACTAACGTAAATCGTACAAAAGTTTAAAGAGTTATGAAAAAATATTTCTTGAAAGAAAGACACTTGATAACTAATTGTTCTGTTTCTATTCCATGAAACTTATTTATTGATTAAAAACATTTTTATGTGCTGTCTCATGTATACAGTGTCTGGCATTTCTCCACATTTTTTGAAATTCAATTTTCAAGGGAAACATCTTTTGTTTGGTTTTTCTGTTTATCATTTGCTTCTTCTGCATCTTTGGAAATTGAGTTCTTGGTGGATTACAATTTTTTCTAGGTGCTATCTATTTCATGCTTTTATCATTTTGAATTTTCCAAAATGTTTGTATCTGATTTTATGATGAAAAAACATTTTCTAGATTGTTTCTAGCACTTGCAATGTCTTTCACTTCTCTACATCTTTTAAAAATGTTTTTTTATTTAAGAATATATCTTAGGTGATATTTATTGATAAGTTCACAGTCTTGCACTTCTGTGTATCTTTGAAAAGACTTGAATATTGAATATTTTTGTAGGTTTTATCTCTTGACAGTTCACTTGTCTTGTAATGTTTTGCATCTTTTGAAAGTAATATCATGATGAAAGATGTTTTCTAGATTCTACCTGTTGAATGTATTTGTTGTCTTGTACGAATACTTGTTTACACCTCATAAATCCGATTTAAAAATGATGCAGGATGTGTTCATAGTCTTGTACTTTTCTACATCTTTTGAAACAGAAATATCACCTATAGTATTTTATACATATAAATCTAATAAATTTAACTTTTACTTTAGTGAAAATATAAATTAAATATCATTTTATTTAGCTTTTAACCATTTTCTTTTTCAATAGAGAGAGATATAGTATAAATTACACATTTTGGTTAAAAGTAAATTTATTTAAATATATGTAGCTAAAAACTATAACCTGTCATAGTTAGTGTTTCAACCAATTGCTCAAATAATTAGTGGCTTTTCAAAAAGATAAGTAATATTTGCAAATACCTGTTCATTGAACATAGTGTGTGCACTATGATGCATTATTTAAAGAATACTTTTAGCCTTTCTATGTGGCTCAGAACTGCTGATAAATATCTGCTTACAGCAACTACAGGGATTCATATTGCCTGATGCTCAGGACACCATGACTTACTATTATACTTTGCCTATTGGACAAGTACTTTTTTCACACTGTTTGCTCTATTGCTAGAAAAACACTCTTGAAAGTCCAGCACATAAACACAAACTTTTAAGATGCATAACTCTAAGCCTCAAACCAAATATACATATCCCATTATATACATCTCTCTGCTTCTCACACACAAAATAACAAATACAACAATATTATTATACTGTTTTTGTTTACAGTAATAGTCCAGTATAATTATAACTACCCATTCTATAAAGAATATATAACATAAAATTTTAAACTCTTTTATATATAAATATAATAGTTCATGGATGCATAAATATAAACCATGATTTCTCTATCAGTATAGACATGCTGCACTGTAAAATCCTGATGATTGACAAAAAATTAATAAAATATGTATATATATATATATAGTTTTAAACCTTATTAATCTGAGATTTGATCTTTTACTACCATAATGTGAGCTAGAAAGCCAACTGTGATATGCAAGCATGTATACGTTTTCTACCTGCTTTAGTGATATAGCCAATTAAAAATTGTTTGTTATTTAGTTTCCATGCTGTAACAGCAGCAACACATTGTCCAGGAAGTTGTTACAATTACTTTTTTCTAGTTGTTTCAATTTTGTTTTCAAATGTAAGTCATGTCTATGTGCTGTATATGATATTGTTGTAATATATAGCATCTGCATTAAAAAGATTGGCACTGTAGTATCCTTTGCTGCCCAATGCTGTGATGGAACAAATGTTATAAGGTGATGCAATCAGCTTGACAATGAAATTGAGTTTATCTGTCAATTTCTGGCACCTTCTTAGTTTAATCCTAATAGGAAGTTATAGAGTAAAGACTCATTTTTAATATCACTAGCAGAAATGCTGCATGACAGGCAGCTGTTTGTGCTAGTAATTACTAATTGTGATATTCATACCTCATCGAAAAAAATTTAGAAAAGTGAACATTTTTTAAAAAAGGATTTTTCTGGGAAGTAATGCATGGCAAAAGTGTTCAGATTGTGTTGATATAAACTGTTATGATTTTTTTGAATTGAAAGTGGTACCTTTCATTGAAAAAATTAAGTATTTTTTAAGAACTCCACTTACAAATTTCATCACTTAAGATATAATCAAACCCTTATATACAGTTCTAGTGAAACTCGCATTCTTATTGTGAGGAAGAGCACTTTTATTTAAAATTGTGTTTTGTGATAAAAAAATGGTTGTTGAACATACTGTAGTTATATTTTTAATTGTCTGAATCTTGAATAACCAAAGTGTGAAATTTTTCTATGGATTTTTGTTTGTGGTGCTAATCAACAGATGGCGCCACATTGTGTTTAGATTGCGGGAGTCCACCCCAAAAGAGGGAAAGCTCTGGGACTAAGTACAACATAGTAGAAGTGACAGTTCTTTGTGTACACAAGTATGTATGTTGCATTTTCTTTTTGTTTGCTCAATAATAAACGATTGTTTTCATTTTTGCCAATTTCATTCATTCTTATTATTTTATACACACTATGAAGAATTAGTTATCTGATCAGAATCACTCTCATTTCTTGATCAAATCTACAGTTATTTGCAGATCCGTCTGTCTGAAAATTGTCAGGTAATCAGCAGATTTTACCTGAAACATATGTAAGGTTCCAGAGACTTTGCGAAATACCTAGAAACAATGATACAGAAAATTTTAAGAACATGAAACAATATATAAAGAAGACTTAAGAATAAAAATAAATTTGATTGAAGAAAATATGCACAAAATTATTGGGGATATACAGAGGGATTACAAAAACAAATTTGAAGAAGTGCAGAAAGGCTGTAATGACAAAATTGAAGAAGTACAAAACAAAGTCAAAAACAGAATAAAAAAATAATTGGTAAATGAAAAGTACAGATCAGCTATATCCAAACCAAAACACCATTTACTATTAAAAACTATCTGGTCTACACCTATTACCACTACTGCTGTGCCATCTGTTAATGCAGGACCTTCATGGACTAATCCATCCATATTACTAGCAAATCCAGTTCAAGATTTAGTGACCTATTCAACTACATTGCCCAGTTGGAAACAAATGGACTATTATGGAAAGGTAACCACATTCAGTTTGAAATAATTTCCTAAGTGAAAAAGTTGCTCATTTAAGAGGACTAGCCTTAATTACATTACGTAACCTTCCAGCTGAAAGGCATCAACAAATATCAGGCACTGGTAACTGCCTTATCCAACAGGTTCAAAGTAACACCACAACGAAGAATTCAGAGTAAAGTCCTGGAATTGGGTATGGATAAAAGGAAATCTAACCCAAACTTGTGGAAAATTTGGAAAGGTGTGCCCAATAATGTTACCTAGATGCTCTTTGTAAAATGACAGATATTTGTTGGCATGTGATCAATTTATAGATGCAATAATAGATGAGAGGACAAGAGAATTAGGTTGGACAAAAGTGTGAGGACATCTTTAAAGAGGTGATAGAATTTGAATCCCTTAATCCATTAGAGATACATATAAACAACTAAAAACACCATCTAGAGCTTACAGGATCATCAGATGGAATAATTCTGAAACAACAACACCCTCTCACAACAACCTAGAATAACTGAAAGAACATTATGGAATAACATGGATGTATAAGGAATAACAAGTCCATACAAAGGATACCAGAAGTTAATATTTTCTTAAATTGAAAATGTATTTCCAATAATACTTACCTCCTCTCACACTACAGCTATTACTCAACTGCCAGGGTTTCTTCCTTTGCCCATCTAAGCATTGGTCTGATTTTTTCTCACTTGCTCCAGTCTTTTATACCCCACTTAATTGCACTTGGCAATATTTGTCTTATGACACTCTCCACCTATGTCAATGCACCCTCTATCCTGGTACTACATATAAGCACCTCATTCAGATAATGTTATCACTTTTCGAGACTGATTCAATCCAAAATCTCTAACATTGGCTCTTTGTGGAGAGGAAGAGCAGGAGAGTGTGAAAAGAAATAAGTATTATTGGAAATACATTTTCGATTTAAGAAAATGTTAGCTTCCAAAACATACATACCTCTACTCACACTGCAGCTAGAATCCCACACTGATAAGGCAGAAGGGTTGATGAGGGCATTATCCATACAGATCATGGGTGTGTCAATAGAAGATTGACACCTTAGTGGGGGAACCGCATTACATCCAAAACTTAATTCATGTAATGTGGGTGGAAATTTAAATGATTTATCATCCCTTTTGGCTAGGCCTGAAACAGATAACTGAGGTTCC